ACGGCAAATGTACAAATGTCACGAACCGTAGGAGTCGTGTAGGCTAGTCAACCCCATTTTACACTCATCAAAATCCAACGTTGAGAGCACAAAATAGCAAAGCCTATGGCGGACTGAATGAAAAGAAGCCATAGATAGATCCAGTGCACAGACGAGCTCACATTGCCTGCTCACATGCTCACATGTTCGTCACATGTCTTGTTACATGTCTTAGTAACGGTACCAGTTTACTGGCCGTGACATGCCCCTGCAAAAATCAAGCAGGGTGGCCATTTTGGCGTCCTTACAGGAATGTGGATTTTTTTCTGCATATAACCATGCATAGGAAAAGCCACAGGTCAAATTAGGTTTGCGTTCTCCAAACGTAATAATTTAACAATCACTGTTTACTCTAACAGTCTTTCACAGAATCTAACTTTGCGATATTGGTCTTTCTTAACTGTATTTTCAGTTAACCATTTTTATCCCAGGTCGCCTTTCTCAGAGCGTTAGACTCACTAAAAAATGTAACACTCAATTTTGAGAACTTTTTAACACTTGTTTAAAAATTCAAGGACTTTTCAACACGAAGAAGAAATTCCACTGTGTATATATATGAACAGTTTTCTACTGATGTCATCGTGAACACACACAACTTATACCATGCTGCTGTATCAATCCCTGTTTTATCAATTTATGCCTCCACAATATATTAGTGCGCAAACAAAACCCCTTACCTTCGGTGGTTGGTTTTGATGAGGTGGAGGGCGTACTTGTTGGTTTTGCTGTGATTAGGAAAACAATACGCTTTTAATAAAGCTTCCAACTATTCTATCAATTATTAACTAGTCTCACACTGTTTTTTTTTCTTTTCTACTTTTTCTTTCTGGTTATTAATTTTCATGGAAATGCTGCGCATGAAAGTAAAACCCTGGTGATTGTGTTTGTTCATAGATCAATACTCTCAACATTACCTATCTATAACAACTGAGGTTTTTCCATTTATAGCTGGACGGTTTCCCTTTCTTATGAGTTATACCCTCTGTGCAGACCAACCAATTCGAGTATGCGATTCAAAATAAAAATCATCTGGTTGAAAACACTATAATTAATGTCATATGATGGAGCTCGGTAACAGGGTGAAGCGGGAGGGAAACTGTAAAACGTTCTCTGTTAAACCATTTTCAGAAGTGCGACACTAATCCTTTGCTTGTTACAAAATGTTCCAGATATCGACCTTGTTTAATTTCTGCTTGCTTAAAACCTCTTATTACTCAAAAGATAAGTGCCATGAATACCTTGTTTTATAATATCAGCAATAGTAATATGTCTGAAGGCTTGCAAAATTATTTACCAAACAAAACAATACAACCTACCAACACGTAGCTGCACAGTGACAGTAACGTTTCCTAAAGAGTTTTCAGCAAAGCAGGTGTACCATCCACTATTATCTAACACAGTCTCAGGAAACTTCAGAATGTTGTTGGTATTTATCACAGTGCTCGGCGAAGTTTCATTTCCATTGTACCAGGTGATATTGGGACGAGGGTTTCCAAGTACTGGGCAAGAAATTGATGCTGAATCTCCTTCAGACGCATAAGTAATGTGACTTTCCTCCCTGGTAACGGTTGGGGGATCTGAAGAGACAAAACAAAGAGAAAACCTAAATTCAAGCCTTTCACCGTAATACCGTTGCTTGTACTGCAACTTTGATATCACAAACACGCTTGCAATTTGTGTGGAGTGATCTGTTCATTTTCCCGATCACTGCTGTTAAATCCCATTGGAATATTTTGAATTTCTGAATTTTCTACTTATGAATAAAATATATTTACACTACAAAATGAGACAACTGTCATCATCACAAAAAACAAGTCCCAAAACAACAACAAGGCTGCAGTAAGAAAAGTGTTCGCATACCTTTGGAATGTGACACTTACCATATACTACGGAATTTAGAGGGGAATCAGTTCGTTTATGGAGACTAANAAATATATTTACACTACAAAATGAGAAACTGTCATCATAAACAAGTCCCAAAACAACAACAAGGCTGCAGAAAGAAAAGTGTTAGCATACCTTTGGAATGTGACACTTACCATATATTACGGAATTTAGAGGGGAATCAGTTCGTTTACGGAGACCAACTACAGTAATACCGTTTATTAATACATTTACAATGTCAGATTGATGGTTGACAGTAAAGATCACAAGATAGTTCACTTCATCATTTCTCACATTCCACACAAATTTCTTGCCTGGAACTATCAAATGGTTAATCAATTTGCAACTACAAATATGCCTTAATTGGCTGATTTCTTCTGATATGTCTCGATGTAACAGTGTTCGTTTAGTCATTGAGGCTAACAATGGAAATGCTACTGCAGCCCAACTGTGCATGTTCTGACAGTCGTATGCTTAATTTACTTACTTAAATAAGAACCAGAAAAGACTGTCTGCTCTTTCTCTTAATGTAAAAACACTTAGAGAGTTTGTTCTTCTTTTGACTCAGAAGGAACTTATAGGTCAGTCTCTATCCCTGTGCACTGCCAGTAGTATGCCAATAGATTTATTCAATTTTTTGGATGTTTCACTTCTCCGCTGTTGAAGAATGAAAAAAAAAACAAACAAACAAACAAAAAACAGAGGGATTTGCAGAGGAATGTTTGATTAATGGTCAGTGTACATTGCAGTGGCTGACAGAGCTTGTGGGCGGCAGAATGTAGAGGCCTTATGTACCACTTCGCATGAATAGGATAGGTGAAGGTGAATGTCCATACAAATGTAGCTTGTTGGTTTTCCAGTTTTGTTCAATGAGGTCGTTTTATCGCATAAATTTGCGATGTTAAGTTATATCTGAACAACATCTCCATAATTATCATATTCCGTATTATGGAGAGCTAAAACTGTGGACATAAAAAAAGCAGTTGTTAACGAACTAAAACTGAGTACTCCCATCTTGACGCCAATTAATTTTTAAATTAATAGCAGCCACATTATAGCTAGTGAACCATAAAATTCCATGATGAAAAGTAACTGGCAAAAACAAAACAATCTATGGAAGCTCTTTCCTCTAGAAGTGTGTGAGCTAACCCGGGATCAAAAATGTAATAGATGACTGCAAAAACAAACAAACAAACAAACAAACAGATATGGTGAGCATTTTGTTTAATAACAGCTACATGAGATGGAAACGTAGGCATCAAAGAAGACTTAACACCTTTACTAAAGGTAAAAGATTGTTTATACACGTCTACAAAATGTAAGCTGACACAAACAAAAACAAATTTTCAACAAGCTAGTAATATTGGGATTGCTTACATTACTAGCAACCTAGAACTGCTTTTCCTGACATACATGAAGATGAGTTAAAACAGAAGAAATTAAGATGTCTTTAACTCTAACAATTCCACACTTTAGAAACTGTTTTTATGTCCACACAATTAAGAAATTACAACAAGCAGTGCACTATAATGATAATAATATATCACAATGAGTACTTCAAAAGAATAACATGGAGAGCAAAACAAAGAACAGTTAAAGTAAACAAAAAAATCCATAGCTAAGCCATCTATAAATTTATGTGGTTGTGATATAAATCTCTTTCCCGTAGCTCATATGTTAGTATGTTATTTTATTTGTAAATTTTTTCATTAATTAATTAATTTAATTATTTACCTTCTTAAATATTTATTGATCAAGAGGTACTTACACAAACAAAACAGTCGCAATTAATTTTATGTTTCATTTCATGCACGTCCTTATTTATTGTTTGGGGGAGGGGGAGTGGGAGGGGGGAAATGAATTTTGAATATCGAACTGAACTCTACCAGTTTGTTTGGGATAATTATTCACGAGACTTCTGCTCAGCACGTTATCGAACTTAGCTGGAATTTGAGACTCTAAAACCTACGGATAGAGAGCTTCGCCGCTCGCCGTTCACATGTCACACTTGCAGTCACACTTGTTTTGCTTTCTTCATTGTGTTCTTCCCCACGGATTTCCGAGCAAAAGAGAGACTGCTCGCAGTTTATTGAGGACGTCAAGATCAACAATGTTTAGCTGCTCTCGTGGAGTCAAAGAGCCTCTACAAGAACGATCTTGTCCATGGGACGTTCCAAGACTGCAGACTTGGCTTTCAGCCTGACTCTCCTCACAAGCCCGTCTCTCTTGTTTGGTTTTACTTCCAGGATGCGACCAAGGGGCCACAAGTTTTCTACCACGAGTACAATGTCTCCAGTCTCAAAGTAACACCTTTATTCTTGCAGTGATTGCCTTCTCGCTTATAGCAATTATACTCCCAGATACTGACTTTTAAAAACAAACTCCAACCGAACGGAATAAAACTAAGCATAAGCTCACAAGTACGCATTGCGGATCTATTTTTTTTTTTAACCTTGCACAAATCTAAAAGTCGACTGCAGAAATGTCAATTGCAATGAGACAAATTCATTCTGAAGCTTTTTCGACAACTTGTTTACTTAACAAATTCTCTAGTACATGATTTCCAAGAGATTTATTACTATTATTACTATTACTATTACTATTATTATTATTATTATTATTATTATTATTATTATTATTATTATTATCATTATTATTAATTAATTAATTAATTCTACTTGGAGCATAATTCAACCCCTTTGGAACAGGCAGGGAGACAGGTTTCTTGTTCTGGATGTGAACACCAGTTGGTTGTGTGATGAGTTTGTCAGAAAAGAACACGCAAGCCTTCCTGATACTTCAGTAGCAGGTCACAAAGACTTTCAACTAATAAACCTTTGTCCTCTCTCTTTTTTTGGTACTTACTTGTGCATTGCACTTGAAACACTATTATGGAAACTAACATTTAATAATAGTAGGACCATGAGATTAGACCTGTACAAAAATATAACAATGTAACAGTTATTTTCTTACACCGCACATCAATGTTGACCATTGTAGAGTCCACTCCACAAGTGTTGTTTGCAGTGCAGTTGTATTCTCCAGCTTGAGCCTTAGTTATGTTGGTGATGTTCAACAGATTTCCCTCAATGATTTCACCAGTCTTGACATTCTTCCACACAACAGTTGGATCAGGAATGCCAGTCACATTACAGTACACTACAACGTTATCACCTTCATCTGGAGTTTTATTTCGTTCCTGTGTTACAATAGTTGCAGGCTCTGTAAAAAATACATTCATGTAACAAGTTACTTTAGTTGAAAGTTTTTATTAGTTATTATTACCTGTTACACACTGTTTAAAGAAGGGCCTACAAAAACGCAATTAGTTACACATATGTGATATAATAATACTAGCTATGAAAGTTCCATACTGTGACTGAGCATGACCTTTGATGAACGGGCAAAAGCAACAAGAGCAAAACACAAGGAGATGGCCAAGCTGAAACTCTCGACCTCAGGTTCTCAAATTCAATGTTCTGACTACTAGCTATTAGGCCATGGTAGCATGAAGAGGTATTAGCTATAATTATACTTATCTATATTACCCAAGTCTACTCTGCAAGTACACAAATGTATTGAAAACTGTGATTTGACGACAAATTTCTGAAATAATAACAGTTAGGCTGCTTGCCCCTTGGTGGGAAATAAATTAAATACAGCTATGCCTCATGAAGAGTGACTACAAATAAACTCCTATTTAGTTAACAAATAAAGAAGCCTAAGCTGTGTATTACACTGTGATAAAACACGACGAACATTTAAGAACACGAGGAAAATATAGAAAAAATATGGGTTTTTGACCAATCAGAGTGTGCGCAGGGTCCTATCTATATTGTATTAGTATAAAGCGTTCAATCACGAATGCCGTTCTCTGATTGGCTACACTACTCACTATCTATTCTGTGATAGATAGTGAGTAGTGTAGCAGTGCGCCCTTGTTAACAAAATGACAGCCGCTTCTTGGCATTTTCGAGGTGTCTGTGAAGGGGATTTAGATTAAGTTTTGAATGACTAGTAGATTTATACTAAAACAATTAGGTTATTTGCTTTCAATTCCTATATAACAGAAATCGAGAGCGAACAATCTAATTGTTTAAAGGGGCAGTATCACGAGAGGTCTTTTAAGTTTTTGTGCAAACTATGCTAAAATTATAAAGATGCACTCACTGATCAACAAAATAAGTTACCTTTAAATGACAAAAAAGGCATAAATTCAATCGCTAAGAGATCAATGAGTTTTGGTGATTTTCCTCCAAGTAACATTGTCAAACTTGAACACGTCGGCCTGACACTTTCAAGTTTTAGACCACTTTTTTCCTACTCGTCTGTAGCCACAACAGTTGTAAACAACTTTTGTGACTAGTATGGTGCATTTTAGCAAGACTAGGCAACTACTAGTGGATTTCCAATTAATACCAACACCTTCATTGGATTTTCAAGTAGCACTAAATCTTGGTGAGACTGCCCCTTTAATATATCATAAAGCATGGAACAGACAGTTTCACAATGATTAGGATGGGTCTGGCCCTGATCAGGGTATTTGCATTGTATTCTTGGGCAATACAGAGCATTTTACAATTAGGAAGTTACGTCACATAATGCAGGAAAGGGAGGTGGGATGCAGAAGGGGAGAACTAGCCTGCTTCAAGTTGCAGAAAGAAGAGTACTACTAATACTTGACTCATTCACAACAACATGCCATAAATTAACTAGTTATGCAAGCTCACCATGAACGGTCAACAAAGTATCACTGCTTCTTCCAGTCCCTTCATCAACAGAATTATTGGCCTCACATCTGAACACAAACTGGCCAGCATTTTCCACTGTCTCTATCACCGTTCCCAGTGTTGTATTGTAAATCACAGTATCATTTTTATACAACAAGTAAGTATGTACTGCTGGGTTAGCTTCAGCACTGCATGTGAAGTTTATAGTAATTCCCGCACAGACTTTGTTTGTTGTATTCTTGTTTAAATGAACTTCATCAGGTTTATCTAAAAAAGATGCAAAGTAAAATACCAAAAACCTTTACTCCAGATAACAAAGCTCGCCACAGTATAGTAACCACTTTCATCTAAGAAAAATACTATCACTCAGTCCCTCTGCAGACTTTATCTAAAAAGATCTAGTTTTGTTCTTACACTGCACATCAATGTACACCACTGTAAAGTCCACTCCACAAGTGTTGTTTGCAGTGCACTTGTATTCTCCAGCTTGAGCTCTGGTGATGTTAGTGATGTTCAATGGGTTTCCCTCGATGTGCTCACGAGTCGCGACTTTTGTCCACATATCAGTTGGAACAGGAGTACCTGCAGTCACATTACAGTACACTTCCACATCTCCGCCTTCTTTGACAACTTCATTTTCGACCTGCTCCACAGATGCCGGGACTGAAAAATACAATCAAATGTACAGCAACACTTAAACATGTTCATTGCATAACATGCTATACAGTTAATTATGAGGGTGCTTGTAAGACAGAAGAAAGATTTATAGCAGACTTCTGTTAAAATGGCCTTTTTCACACCGATTCAAAAAAGTTATATTTATGATAATAACATTTATGATAAGGATTTTGATGATTTCGTGAACGTAGAACTTAGAAAAGTTTTCTCACAACGTTTAATTTCATTTCAAAGTTTGCATTTTGACTACTAAACACACACTGAAATTTACAAGTTGATTGATTTCCAAGGGGCTGCAGGAACTATGACACTCAAAAAGAACTGGAAAGATATGCTAATGCTTCCAATAAAAGATTTAACAGATCTGCATCTGATGCCAATCTTGTTACGGTGCCTCCTGTAATAGCTTTCCTCACAAGTCAGTCCGAATTTTGATTATGTTTGATGCAGATATGAAAAGATGTCTTACAGCTGTAGCAGATGAATTCTCCCCTACTTCTAAAGTCAACTCACGTTCCTCACCAATAAGCTTCTACAAGTAGATCTGGCTCCCCTCTTTGATTACACCTGGCTAATCTTTTTGAGTCACAGTATACACAATGTATTTGAGAGAGTGTCTTGCTATGAAAATGCAGCTTAGTTGGATAACTTCAAACTCACCATCAACATATAAGATAGTATCAACACTTTTTCAAATCTCTTCCAGGACGGAATTATTAGCCTCACATCTGAAAACAAACTGGCCAGCATCGTCCAATGTTTTTATCAAGGTTCCTGATATTCCCATATTTTCAATAACAGTATCATTGTCATACAACAAATAAGTGTGCACTGCTGGGTTAGCTTCAGCAGTGCATGTGAAGTTTATTACAACTCCTTTACACACTCTGCTTGTTGCATTCATTGTTAAGCGGACGTTTTCAGGTTGATCTGTAATAAAGAAAACAAAGTAAGCACGTCACTCTTGTTCCAGTGGATGTATTCACCGTGTAGACAGTAGGGGTACTTGAACCAACTTCTACTCTAAACGTTCATTACACACTAAGTGGGTGATGTGCCATGCACAGTTACCTTGCTGTCTAGACTAGACGATATCCTAGTAAGTATTTATCTATTCAAGAGCCATTAGCAAAGCCAAGGTATCGCACATACACTGCACATGTGAGCTGGAATTTGTAGGCAAGGTTTGCTGTTGCGGTCGTGACAACAATCCAGCAAATTATTAAAACTGTCCTCCATGTACATGATGGAGTTCGAAATCCCACTTCTGCAGAAATCAAACCCCCTTTATTTTCTCTTGTATCTTGAAGCATCAAAAGGACACCGGAATAGTCACAGGATTAATATCGTGCGCGTGAAAATATCCATTTGCTTTTCCAAGATTACAACTTAAATAATAATGAAACATGAAAAAATTACTCGATTGTGATGGGCTGAGAGCAGTGCAGTTCAAGTGTAACACCAGTACAAAAGGTGTAATGCCAATGTAAATTACAGAATGCAATTCTGGATTATGATTGGCTGAAAGACAACAGGAAATTTCATAAGCCAATGATATCATGAAAATAATGACAAACATTTTGCATGGAAACTTTGAAAAGAGTTTTCTCGAATGAGAAAAAATGGCTTCAAGAAAGATCATCCGGCATTTCCTCCACACAATTTTTTTCATGTTTATATTATTAATAAGTAATCATACCGTTTTTCTCGTTCCATTAGGAACTAATTTGCAAATGTGGGTTTTTCAAAAAGCTGAAATTGCACTCGCCGGTAGTTGAGGGAGTGCTTTTAGACTCAATTTCAGAGAAGTTCATTTTCCCATTTAGTAGGAATATGACAAAAAAAATATAAAAGACAAAAAAACAGAAAACAAAAATAAAATGGAAAAGAAGTGATTTAGAAAAACATTTGACAATAAAAAATTGCGACAGAACATTTCTTAAAAGCATTCTAAGATTTAAAAAGCCAAAAAGCTGAATTAAAATCGACAATGTTTCGACGTTACTGTAACGTCATTATCAAGTCAAGAATGTATAAAACTAGGTTCTATAAATAAAATAAAGTGAAAAAAATGAAATAAGATAAATAATAAATAAAAATAATAAAAAATAAGTAAAAGAAATGTGTGGGAATGTATGGCAAAGTAGGAAGTGGAAGGGTTAATTAATTCAAAATAGTGACAAAGGAAGGCTTAATTAATTCATGATGATGTCAAAACTTACTTGACAAGGGGGCGTGTTTCGACGCCTTCTAATATGTCAAAACTTACTCGAGCCCTCTACATATTGTGTGTTCTATCACCCATTACAGCAATTACAATTTAAACATAAACACAACACGAAAGCGACATGGTCGGCGTGGGAAACTTCTTAATCTATGCTGAACATGTCTGGGCAAGTACACTTTGATGCTAAAGTTAAATAGAATGCAGACGCGCATGATAAATGCATTTTGAATAAACTGCAGTCAACAGTACGCTTTGCAAAAAATACAATACACACAATATGTAGAGGGCTCAAGTAAGTTTTGACAAATTAGAAGGCGTTGAAACACGTTCCCTTGTCAAGTAAGTTTTGGCATCATCATCATAAATAAATTAACCCTCCCGTTGTCACCATCTGGAATTGATTAACCATTAACTCCTGGGTTTTCTTCTCACGAACAAGAACATGTACCGCACTAGCACTACAGAACAGGTTCAAAACAGTTATATACCCAAGGCATACATTTTGTACTCTTCCACTAATTAACCTATTACCCTTAGCTGTACATGTATGTTTTTAACATTGAAAAGAAAAGATATGTCCTTACACTGAACATCAATGGTTGTCACAGTAGACTTCTCTCCACAAGTGTTGTTTGCAGTGCACCTGTATTCTCCAGCTTGAGCTCGGCTGATGTTAGTGATGATCAGTAATTTTCCCTCAGTGGGGTTATAACCACCACCCTGAACCTTTCTCCAGATAACAGTTGGACGAGGACTCCCAGCTGCATTACAGTGCACTTCCACATTGCCACCTTCCTCAAAAATGAAATTTTTCTTTGGCAGATTAATGGAAACTGGTACTGCAATAAACATTTGGAATAAAGCCATTTTTATTTCAAAACAGCTGAGCTAGGACCTACATAAACCTAACTGGGGCAAAAGCGCTTTTTAAGGCAAGGTCTGCTATGAAACCTGATCAATAACCAACACTGTATTGGTTCAAACTTGCAATCAGTCTAATGTCAACCTTATGTGAGCAAAACCACTTATGGTGTCAGTACTGACACATGAAAAATTCTCTTATACTTTGCAGTTCCAGGAAATATCCATACCCATCCCAGGGAGGTCACTGGAAATTCTAAGGGGGAGAAGGGTTGCAAAAACCCAAAGTTTTTAAAGGAGAGTATGAAGGTAAATGGGAATTTCCAAGGCGGCGGGAACTCAAAACCAAAAATCTCCTGTGTCAGTGGTTTGGATATCATTTCTCTTGCAGAACACATTCTATTCCTACACTGGGGAAAAAGCCTGTTTTGTCAAACCTCTGAGTTTTTTTATGAAGGTAAATTTGTTGATTGAACTTACCAATATTACTGTTTTACTTTTATGCATTAAAATTAAAATTTTATACCTCATGAACTCACCATTTACAGTTAGAGTAACATTGTTCTTGCTTGTTACATTTTTAGTAGGCTGATATGCTACGCAGTTGAAAATAGACTTTCCTTCTCTTGATATCTTGGTTATCCATGTTCCACTCTTACGTAAATTGAATCCATCTTCACCATCAGAAAGCAGATAATTATAAACTGGTGGATTGGCTTCAGATGAGATGCAAGTGAAATTCACCCACAAATCAGAACAGTCTTTGTTCTCAGTTGTGTTAGTTACCAAGGTAACCATATCAGGCTGATCTACACAAAAGAATGAAATGATCTTTTGTTAACATGATTCTTGTATCAATGTACTGAACTTGTAAGTAATAAATGTTAGTGATTGCTGTGTAGCAACAACTTTACTACTTATATCACTAAAAATCTAACACTAATCAACCAATAGAGAGCAAGAGTTTACAACATGTACATGTAAAGCAACAGAATGCACCAATAAAATGAGAAGTAATCAGTCATTTCAGCCACAAAAACCTGAGTGCTGCTGTGCGTGCGAGTCAATGAGAATTAGTATTATACACAGTTGACTGGTTTTAAAGACAGCTGAGGTTAATAATAACTGCACACTAAAAACAATAAGGCAAGTGAAATAACGCATGCTTAAACTTACAATATTATCTGCTGAAACAGTTATTATGAGCTTCAGATTAACATATTCTGAATAACAATAATATTTTTATTTAGTTAGTGCCATATTTGCATTATAGTTTCACAACATCTTAGTCCAGATTAAAGTAATTAAAACTCAAAGAAGGTACATGCATGCTGTATTAGACCTCAATGCTTTTAATGAATATGTAACAGCTGAGATACAAACATGTATGAACAGCTGCTCATCTACACACAGACATACCTGCCAACCCCCAGAGTACAAAAACCTGGAGACGGCTAGAAATCTTGCCAATTTTGTACCATGTATTGTGCAATTTGATTGGTTGATTTCTGACCAGTTAGGATACTCGTTAAATATATATCAATTTGATTGTTCTGTTTTACGTTTTTCGATTGAGAGCAGCTCAAATAAGAGCAACAAATTCCCCTCTTGTTTCATTTTCCTTTTTGAAATCTTGAAAATAACGAAATTAATGAAAAAAAAATTTAAAAAGAGCCACGGTAGGTAGTTCCCGGGAGATTTGGTGCTCTAACCGGGAGACCAGGAGATTTGATGAAAAACTTGAAGACTCCCGGGAAAACCGGGAGAGTTGGCAGGTCTGCACAGACATGAAACAACATTGATAAATTTATTTAGTGCATTAATCAGAATGTTAATCAACAAGTGCAAATAGTTGAAATAAGATGCAAACCATACCTTAATGAAAGTGAAAGCCAAACCCCAGTAAGAAGACTTTCACACTCACAAGGAACAACTCAGCACAGAAATAGTTTTGGATTCCTTTTTTTTTCTCTTTTTTTTTTAGTGGAAGTGCCATCCTACACTGCTTTGTCACGATACAAAATTTTCAATTTTTTTTCCATGTTTTACTTAAGTGATGCTACAGAGAACTCTTCATTTTTTAGAAGCAACAGTACATAGTTTGCACTGAAGGCCTAAAATGTTACAGGGAGTGGGAAGGCTGTGCACCATGTGCATATGACACATAAAGCTACAAAATGGCGCATTAGGAAAGTACCTACTAGGCCTGCGATGCGCCCTAGCCGCTAAACAGCTAGTAAAACATACACCATCTTGTGAAGAGGATTTTCATTTTTGAAATTTTCAGTGTAGTGACAAATAAACACGCGGGAAATCACTATGCCTTTGCTCTTTAATCAATGTTATAAAAGCATTTACAAGTTAATTTTGTTTTCGTCCCCAGAGCCCTTACTCGGACTCTGCTCGCAAACAAGGTTCATGCTCTTTCAATGATAGAATCGGCTGATTTGAATACGTTTTGCATCCTGTAATTAGCCAAATAATATGCCAGTCCGAAAGTGAACATTCCAAAATTGGAAGAGACTCAGAGATTGTTGCCGTTTTGCACTACGAATGTCGAGTCCGCCACAACAAATTGTGATCCTGAAAACAACGATAAAAACGAAGCTTCCAAGCAAAACAAAAAACTTTTGATGAACGTTTCATTAACTATTAGAGAGCTACAGGTGTGTTATGTACAGTTCATACATAGCTCAAGTTTTAAATTGTAAATGCAACTTAACTTGTCACTCTAAATCTAAAACTCTGACTCTGACTCAGACTCAGACTCTGTGTGTTAAGTTTAATCAGTTTCAGTTCGGAATGTATAGTTTAAACTCTATGAAAGGTTATATAATTTGTGTTAGCTATATTCTGTGACTGTACATTTAAACCTAGCTTGAAAGCCAGTAAAAAGTATAAAACAAAAGCAATCAAGAATTATGTATCGTTTGTCAAAATTTTTTTATGGCCCATTTATTTACCCTAATGGCCCAAAATTTTTATAAATGGCCCATAACTTTCCAATGCCATGAGCCATAAGCTCATTTGCCTATTTTGCTTTCCCAATGCCTGCTTTAGTCATATCCAATGTAAGATAATGCCAACCTGGAATGAGCCTCCATCTCGGACAACACAATTTAAACTGAAGATAACCCCTTCTTGAACTCGATTTGAGGGGTCCACTGAAAACCACCATGACAAGTTGGGTTCCCTCATAAAATACTATTTTCACTGTTGTCGTCGTCATCATCGTCATCATCGTCGTCGTCTCTATTAGATGTAATATTATCAACACTGGAAAAATGGCTCATATTGATTTTAGTGTGTATTCACAATTGATTTGGGGTAAGGGGTTTCATTTCTGCCTTATTTCAACCATGATTGATGGAGGTCCAAACTGAGATTACCAGAACTTACAGTACATGTATATTTATAGATCATAATTATATATTCCATAGGGTTGCAGTTGCAAGTTCAGTTAACATCATAAAAAGAACCCTGTCCAGTATTAAAACATGATTTTTGGCAATAAATATTTACCCCTCCTGAACCTGAAAACAATGCCAAACTCTGGGAGGGGAGAGTGAGGATTAGCATGCACAGAGCTCTGTCTGCAATGAAGTCAACCAAAGAGGGGATGGCTAGAGTCAATTTGATAGGTTGGTCCCAAAGTTTTTCCAAGTGTTCTGTATATAATTATCAGCCTTAAGGTTCTATTATTTAAAGTAGCATTCAAAGAAGTTTATTATTTTCACAACCAGGGGAGTACTAGCTTGCGAACGCAGACGTATTTCCGGCTGTCGCTCGTCTCCGCCGAAAAATAACGTCTGCGAACCCAAGCCAAGAAACGATTTCTCTGACGTAGGAATTTTAAGCCAATCACAGTTTAGCTCAAGTAGCCCCAGAACTACTGCGTAAGGTGTTCGCTGCGAGGAGCACTCGAGTTTCATTTTATCATGGAATCTGATTGGCTAAGGAGAAACAAAAGTCATTACGTCACAGAAAT